ATTACTAAACTCGATTATCTAATCCGTAGCCGATGCATAGAAAATATTCACTATACTCTGTTTTTAAACTAAGAGGAGCGATTTGAATTTAAGTTGGCAATTCTGTAGACTTCTGATTGGTCAGATTACAGTCAGTTTCACACATTACTTTTTACCATGAACATCAGCTAATAATTGATATTGTTGACGGTTCTGACATTTTATAATTTGATATCTCATCCATTGCTTAGTTTTTTATTTTATTTCGTAAATAATAGTTCTTCAGTAAGTATTGAAAATCTACAATTATGGATCCTTCTACACTAAGTACTATTAAGGGTAGCAATTCCTGAAAAGCCTTACAAGAAAGGGAAGACACCTTATTATTTTACATGCTGATTCTGAAGGTTTTGTAGAAAATGCATTAATGGTTTTTGAAGGTAAAAAGATGGGAGATTACCATGAAGAGATGAATTCCGAAGTATTTTAGAAAAAACTAACAACTTTATTACTGATTTTTTAAAACTAAAAATTGATGAATTTCTAACCAAAATGATTAAAATGTAACTAAATATTCAAGTAAATTGTATTTATTAGAATCGAATAAAACCATTTACAAAATTGTTATAACATTTAAAACACCATCTACTACTTTAGGGATAATCTAATTTAGCACAATGAGTTAACATTACTTTCACAAAAAATTATTTAAAAATACTAAAAATTAATACATAGGTATGTATGAATAGTTCACTTTAAATTAAAAAATATATGTTGACATGTAGTGTTATGAAAATGTTGGTTTCAGTTTTCAAAACAAATTCTGACTCATAGGCCTGTAAACTTTTGAAAGCCTTTATTTGCCCTTTAGCGTATTAACCATGGGTTAACACTAAATAAGCCATAATATCCACATAACTCATAGGAGAGATACCAGTTACTGTGTGATCCACTTGTCATTCACTGATTAACTTTTACTTTTTATACCTATAACAAATATATCCTTAAAAATGTAAACAGACCAGATTTTTATATTTTATACTAACCTGGCTACATCTGGATATTCTATTAACAATTTTCTTAAATATGTAATATCCATTTTAAAAAGATCATAGTTATTCTCAAAAAGTCGATTTCAAAAGCAAGAAAAAGTATTTCTGACATCAATCAACAACCATATTGAATTTTATTTGACAGTAACATTTCGTTTTAGATATACATTTCAGATCACAATAATGTGAAATTTGCGACCATTGTCTGGGACCAATAAAAAAATTACTTCTATGACATTTATTCGTTTCTTAACCCCTCATTGGCCGTTCACCGACTAAGGCTGATAAAGATAACTATTTCATAAATTTTGAACACGACTATATTTCGAAACTCATCATTAGTAACAAATCTAGTTACTTTTCCCTGTGTAAATGCGTCTTTTCAATTCGCTCCTCCTAGTTTAAAAACAGAGTATAGCCATTTAAACGAGATTTGCAAATCTGGATTAGATTTTAAAACGGTGCATATGGGCGTTAACGACCGTATGCACCGTACACGTTTAATCCAGATTAAGGGTTTAATCGCGTTTAGTACCATTTTTAGCGATGCACCGTAATAAAAATCATTCTTAATCCGATTTTATTGTAATCCGTCAACATAGGTGGATCAAATTATCTAATCGAGATTTTCTTACGTCAAAAAGATGTCAATGTTTTGTCAGTATATTTGGAACTTTCGATTTGTGTTTCTTTTATTTGAATTTTAATAAAAAGCGGAAATAGAATACCAGCTTTTCTTGGAAGATGACAAAGATTCTTGACAAAATTACTAGAGAAGTGAATATTTTTATACGATGGGCAACTTTGTCATTTTTAAGAGGTTTTTTTATATTCTAACGTTACAGCATAATTTTGTAGTTAGATGGCAAATCCAGATAAGTTAAAAAATATATAAAAAAAGTAAGCAATAGGTACATATATTTATGTGATTTTGTCCATTTTAAAATAATAATATTTCATATCTAGTTTTGATCATGCACGGTATAGGGAATAAAGTTTTCACATAGGTATATCGTTTTGCATAAAAGCTTGAAATACAGCAGCTTGTTAAAATTACCAAAAATTAACATAATGGTAATCGCCATCTTATTTTTATAAAATCATTTGACATTTTTTTCACCCTGCGTAGAATTCGGTATGCGTTTTACGGTGTGTTTACGGTTTTGGTACATTTAAAAAATAGGGCTTCTATTTTCAACGGCCTCTTATACTTTGACATACATTTTTCCTACTCAAATCTGACGTTTTCTTCTTCTCTTTTTTGTGAAATTTATAAAATTCCAGTGTTGTCAGATTACTAAACTCGATTATCTAATCCGTAGCCGGTGCATAGAAAATATTCACTAGCCATTTAAACGAGATTTGCAAATCTGGATTAAATTTTAAAACGGTGCATATGGGCATAAGAACAACATTTGTTAAGTTGGCGAAAACAGTAGATTTCATGCCAAAAACAGGAGAACAGAAAGAAAAACAGTGGATCTACTTAAAAACAGTAGGTCTGGCAACGCTGATCGTTCCCTTGAATGATTGTCTGCGGGTGTCGTGTCACCTGTCTCCTTGCTTCCACATACTTTGATTACTATACGGTGCAAGAGAGAGGTCCGACACGCCCAACATAGGGCGCGGCCATTTTGATTCCTATGTCACAGTTTATAGCTAAAGAATCAGATCGCTCACTCTGCGTCGGCACTTTTGATCTCAATGTTCCAGTTTATACACTGCGTAACTCGGATAATACAATACATGACAACCGCCTATAATAAAACAGCAGTCTTCTGCGTATCCTGAATTTGTATCCTTGGAGTGGATGTTATTTTGGAACTTTCAACTGGTCCGAGTGAGCTAACTGATTCTTTAGCTATAAACTGTGACTCCAAAAATAATATTTACTGGCACTGACCTCAGCAAGCAAAATATCAGGTGCGTTTTATTCATCCGCTTCTGCTTCCGGAATTGTCGGTTTAGTCGTTTTAACCTGTCAGTTTAAAACAAGAAAACCGACAATTCCGAAGCAGAAGCGGATGATTAAAACGCACCTATTAAAAATATTGCGCCAAGATGTAGGCAACACGTAATAAGGGATCAAAATGGCGGAGTTTTCTATCTCCTTTTAAAAGGCACTCAGAAAGCTGCGCAGTGCGACCATTCTCCGTATAGTAAAAGAAAATCAAAGTATGTGCCTTGCTTCCCAAATGTACGGAGCGTAACATAATTGTGCAATTTGTGGTTTTGTCTTGTCAAATCAAATGTCAAATTTCGCGGCGACTAACGAACGGCTGGCTAACGACTTTATAAATTGGGTCCAGCGCGAACTCACCAACTCGAACTGAGCGTGAACTGAACGCCAACTGAACGTAGTTTACAAATCCAGCTTTAATTTTATCTATTAAATTTTTAGTTTCCGTACTCAAACGACTTTATTTCAGACAAAAGCACTGTTTTCGTGTAGTGTTGCCAGAGTTGGTACAATTGTACCAGATTTGGTACCATTCACTTTAAAAAAGTACACTGGTACGACGCTGACATCTTTGGTACAATTTCGAACTTTACATTTTACATATAAACTCGATATAACAATTTCCTGAATGGTAAATGGATGTCATTACCAATGTCACCCAACACTTGATTCTCGATACGTGAAACGTGAACTGTCAAACAACTGTCTTATTCGGCTATCCTTTGTTAATTTTGTCTTGTCAATGTCATCTTGTCGTTTTGTGATTTGTGGTATTGTGGTTCTTGATTGACCGTTCCGTGGTTTCGTTGACGTTGACGATTGACGGTCGACGTTGCGTTGGTGTTTGATATGGTGTTTGATGCAGTTTTTGTTTTACTCTTTTGTCTTTTTATAAAAATGTATCTGTGTATAATCAATTAAACATTAAACATTTACACCTGTGATTTACACAGACAAAACAAAAAATCATTTAAATTTGACACAGTGATAATTTAAGGCTTTGACCGCGTGTTGTATTGCAGTTTCAGGTTATCAGGTTGCATTATTTAAAATAAGTAAGTAGTTTTTAAAGTACTAAAATCACCTACCTAACAGACATTTAAAACTGTTAAAAAAAACTTCAGGGTTTAGTTTTATTTTAAGAGAAAAATATGCCAGATTTTTAATTATTTATAATTCTACAGTAGATATGCCAATAAAATCTTTTATTTTAGATTTTTGACCCAGGCATCATCGGCCTTGCCCTCAACTTCTAAAAAGAATATTTCTCCAGAAAATTTAAATCGTAATATATTAAGTGATAAATCACCTGACCAAACTGAAACTAATAAAATAGCTGTACGAAAAAAAGTTTCAAAATATTATAAACATAAATCTAATAAAACGTGGACAAAAGAATATCCTTGGGTCTCAAACATTGATGATGTAGCATTTTGCAAATGATGCAACCAAAAAATTGTGGGAAGTTTTACACACCTAAGACGGCACGAAAAATCAGCAAACCACAAAAAAAAATCGAAATTGCAAAATCCACTCGCAAAATAAATTTAATGGTTGATGATGACAAAACACTTTTGCACAAAAAAATTGTATATGCCATTGAATTGAAGATGACAATGTTTCTTCATGAGCATAATTTTCCATTTTTATTAATAATGGAACATTTGCCTAAATTTGTACAATCAGTTTGTCCTGATTCCGCAGTGGCAAAAGATGTTAAATGTAGTCGAACGAAAGCTAATTTATTGACAACAACATGTTTAGTCCAAGAGAGCCTTGAGGTTCTTCAAAAACAACTTCATGATAGTGGTGGCCTCTACTCATTAATAATAGATGCGACCACAGATGTCTCAACAAAAAAATCTCTAGCTGTGGTTATTCGCTTCTGCAAAAATGACAAACCTATAGATAGGTTTCTTGGACTTATTGAAGTGACATCTGATACTGCTCAATCATTATTTAATGCAGTAGTACAATTATTAAATGATAATAAAATACCGTTATAAAATATGATTGGCTTTGCTGGAGATAATGCATCAGTTATGATGGGGAAGAAAACTGGTGTCCAGGCTAAATTTAGGGAATTAAATGAAGATATTTTTATATTGGGATGTAGATGCCACTCTCTGCATTTGTGTTCTTCTGCTGCCTGCACTAAATTACCTAAATCAGTTGAAGAATTTGTCAGAAATTTGTATAATCATTTTTCCAACAGTCCCAGAAGAATAGATGAGTTTGAGGAATACCAAAAGTTCTTGCAGCTGAAACCTCACAAATTGCTACGACCAGCTCAGACTAGATGGCTGTCTTTACAAATAAGTTTTGAAAACAGAAAAATAAATTTAGAACATATATAGTTATATTTTACAAATTTAGTACATGAAAATAAGGATGTTTTACATAAGTGATCAATATTTACTGGAAAATCTAAAAAATCCTATATTTAAGTTATATTTAACTTTCTTGTCATATATTTTGGATATCATAAACCAAATGAACCTGCAATTTCAAAGCGAATCAACCCAGTAACACACTCTTTACACCAAGTTCACTAGCCTCTACAGAAGGATTTTAAAAAATTTTGTCAAACGCACTATCATAGAAAACAATGAATTAGGGAATATTTGCCCAACCAATCCTGAAATTTATTTAGATACCAAAGAAATCTATATGGGGGCAAGAGTTGCTTTATTTTTAAGTGAAAACAATATTGACTGTAAAGAAGTTGAAAAATTTAGAGTAAATGTTCTATCATTTTATGTAAAGTTAAGTAGCCAAATTCGAAAAAGATTTAACTTTAATGATGGCTTATTAATTTTTTTCAACCAAAAAATGCGTTAAGTGGCGATGTCCCACCATTGTTGTCAAAGCCAAAAGGTTTATTCCAAAAGCTGTTTTTGACTGTGAAAAATTAGATAATGAATGGAGGCTGCTACCAGAGATAGCTGATTAAAAAAAAAGAAAATCTTCCATTCAACGAATTTTGGATTCAAATCAAAAAATGGATTGGACTGTGAAATGTTCCCAAATTTAAAGACTGGTTGGGGCCGTAATGTGTCTTCCACATTCTTCTGCCGGTGCAGGAAGAATATTTTCCAAACTAAATTTGATTAAAACTGATTTAAGAAATTGTCTTAATGTAGCAACATGTAATGCGATTATGTTGTCATGTGAGTTATTAAATGATGGAGAATCATGTTATTCTTTGCAAACACAACCAACTTTGTTAAAAAAACTCCCTAAATATTAACTTGTTGTTCCAGAGGTCTACGAGTAGGTTCTCAAATTGATGATATTTTTGTTTTATGTTAAAGAAGTTATATCTTGTATCTTCTTTTTTTTGTGTTAAGAAGTTGTATTTTAAACATTTTAATTGTGCAATATAATATGGCAATATTTGAGTTTAAAAAGGCACAAAAATGTTTTATAGGTAATAGGATATAGAATCCAGTTTAATTTTGTGTTGATTTGCAAGCACATATATAATATATTTATATATTAAAAAAATACATTATTGTTTTATTTATCAAAATCTAATTTATAGTTCCTACCCTTAGATTAAAGAGACCGAAGATGTAACATTGCACACTGCGCATGTTGTCTATTTTAAGCCAAAGTAACCGGTTGGTGAATTGGAAATCATTGTTGCACGACGCCACCCGAATTGCTCCTATTTCCATTCAGCGATCACCTCCACCTGAATTTAATCACCATTGACAGCTGTTTTTTGATTTATTTGTTGGTATTTTAGCAATTTAAAGTGTTCTAGTTATTCAATTTCAAGTTCAAAATGTCACGATGTATCTTGAAAAATTGTATGTACTTATAATACAAGTACTACTGTTATGAATATATTCGTTTTCAGCGGTAAATATTTATTAACGTTTTGACATAAAGCGCCATGATTCTCTGGGCTGAATACTTCAGATCCGCATTAAGGGGTTTCAATAAATATTAAGCATCAGAAATCAGATTTCATATTACTTACATAAATTTACAAAAGGGTAAAATTTTGAACATTTAATTTAAATAAATAATATATAGGCATTATTGCTAACGAAATTTTGTATTTAAAAAGTAGTTTTATAAGAATGTTTTCTAAAGGTAGTTTTTAGCCCTTTTTGGTAGATAAATAAGAGGTAAAGAATCATAGTTGCTAGCTAAATTTTATTTTTATAAGGTATTTTTATAAGGTATTTTTATAAGGTATTTTTATAAGGTATTTTTATAAGAATATTAGATGAAATACAGGATGACCTACTTAAAATTTCAAGGTTCATCTTATTTGCGGTCAAATCGAAAGTGACATTGAATTTTCAGTCTTAAAACAAAGTAATCTAGTATAAGCAAAAAAAAAAATACTAAAGTTACAGGAGTTAGGTCCGATTCCACCGTTGTGTTAAACGGAGATTAAAATGACAGTGTTAATGTAAAAATGTCATTTTAAACTTCGTTTAACACAACGGTGGAATCGACCCTTAGTCACGTTAATAAAATGTTACATTACAAACCCCTAAACAACTCGAACATAATTTTCGTTTACTAAAAAAAATCCAAAATTTAGCAATATTTATTTATTATACAATCGAATGCGATTTCAAAGATAACTGGATCAAAAAATCCGAATCTCTAAATTTTGGAGCTAAATGCTCAGATAAAAGCAAGCGACCGATAGGGGTTACAAAAATAATCGATTTATCGATAATTCTGATATTTTTTAATGAAAATCGATTTATCCGCTGTTTTTAATAAATTATTTTCGTTTTTTTTAAGATAATGTATTAATCGATTTTAAAGGAAATACAAAAAAGTAGATTTATTCAAAATAATCGATTTATCGTTTAATCGGTTTTTTAATTATTTGATTATTTTCGATTTTTCAAAGATATATGAAAATAATCGATTGAATATAAACGGTTATTTTACATAATTCGATATTTTTGTTATTTTTTTAAAATTATCGATTTATTGGATAATCAGCTTTTTAATAATCAATTATTTTCGATAATCGAATAATCAATTTCAAAGGAAATATGAAAAAAGGATTATTAGAAAATAATAGATAATTCGTTTTATTTTTTGGAAAATCGATTTATCATAGAATCGGCTTCTTAATTAATTGGTTATTTTCGATTAGGCGATTATTTTGGAATTATTGATTATTTTTGGTATTTCAAAGATAATCGAATTATCGATTTTAAAGGAAATACAATAAAAATAGATTATTGATAATAATCGATTGATCGAAAATAATCGATTATTTAAAATAATCGATCATTCTGTTTTTTTTTTTGAAAATCGATTTGACAGTTAATCGACTTTTTAATTAATCGATTATTTTTGAAATACAATAAAATAGATTATTGGTAATAATCGATTTATCATAGAATCGGCTTCTTAATTAATTGATTATTTTCGATTAGGCGATTATTTTGGAATTATCGATTATTTTCGGTATTTCAAAGATAATCGAATTAACGATTTTAAAGGAAATACAATAAAAATAGATTATTGATAATAATCGATTGATCGAAAATAATCAATATTTAAAATAATCGATCATTCTGTTTTTTTTTTAAATCGATTTATCAGTTAATCGACTTTTTAATTAATCGATTATTTTTGATTAATCGATTATTTTCGAATAATCTGTTTCCATGGACGAAAAAAAATGGTTTATTTGAAAATAATCGATTATTTAAAATAAACGATAATTCTATTTATATTATATTTTGTAAACACTGATTTATCGGTTAATTGGCTTTTTAATTAATCGATTATTTTTGATTTTTCAAAGATAATCAAGTAGTCGATTTTAAAGGAAATGACAAAAATATATTGTTTGAAAATAATCAATTGATCGAAAATAATCGATTATTTTCAATGATCGATAATTTATTTCGATAATCACTAATCCCTAGCGACCAAATGACTTTTAATAGATTTAAATTTTAAAATGTTACCTGGTTTCAGACATATGCATTTCTAGAGTTTTATGTGACTCATCCTTCATAATAATTAATATTCTTAAAGAAAGAAGCCTTAATATACTTTTTTCTGAGGTTACAATACAAAACAGCATTTTCTCATTTTGACTAATTTTTAATAATATGTAATAGCCGTAGAAAAAATATAATGTTCAACTCATAAGGGTAGATTTGCAGTATTAGCCTGCGCACATGCTATTTTTATAATACTCGTAGACAATGAGTAACATTTTTTGCTCTATTAACAATATATTCTATTTCAAAATTTTACTGTAATCTCTTGCAGAAAAGTCCGTAGTAAATAAACGCTAACGAAATATTCTGTAAAAGGTCTTCTCTTTACATAAAATGTCGTGGCATCTGTTTGATATTAAAAAATCACGTTAATTTTATTTCATAATATAAAATTCGATTAAACACATTTTAAATAAATCTAATAGTTCATTAAGATGCTAATAAACAAAGTCCGGTCCCTGTCACAGAGTTCGGGTCGCCGCGTGTCGCCGCCGCCCAGTTCCCCCACTCCGTTAACCCTTCTTTAGAAATTGGCAACATTTGCGCAGGTTTAAAACCGGTGTATGTTATATCTCTGGTCTCTTTTATCTAAGTTCCTACCCTACTATCTATATTACACACCCCACAAAAATTAACGCATCACTAAAATGTTTTCAAAAGTTTGAAGTTATTTTTTTTTCGAACTGTTTAATGTATTTTTGGACAAGAGGTGATTCTTCAGGAATAATAATCTCTTAATTCTTAAAATAAAATGTAATTTTTAAGTGAATACCGGGTGTGGCCATACTATCGGTTTTTGGTTGGAAAATTTGTAACACTTCTACCCTCAATAACAGCATGTTAGAGTTAATAGCCGACTTTAGTCTCAAATCTTTTTTGATTCGTTTTATTATCTCTGTTATTAGAGGAGATGTGCGACACAAAATAACACTCTAACAATAATGCTTATTATATCTTTAACAAATCCTAAATAATTTTACAAGCCTAATTTTCAATACCAACAAACTGTCAATTTGAATTTGGAAGATGATACGTATAATTTTGAATTTTGAAGATGATACGTATAATTTTGCATTTGTTATACCCTGCCTTTTAGTTTTTTAATCTTCGCATGTAAATCTTTGTTAACTATCAATATGTAAGTTTATAAAAACAGGCAGTGCTAAAAAACTGTATATCTCCTCTAATAATAGAGAGAGTAAAACAATAAAAAAAATAAAATTTTGCGAAAAGATGAGGCTAAAGTAGGCTATTAATTATAACATGCTATTATTGCTGCTACACTCCACAGGGTGTTACGAATTTTCCAACCAAAAACCTATATTATTGTAATACCCGGTATACGCTCAAAAATT